TAAAAATAGTAACAGTAACAGACTAAACTCCAAACAATACTATGTTACAGATTTTACACATTTAGGAAATAGCACTAATATGTACAGATCACTATAAATATCAAGACAGAGAGTGGGTGTTCGCCCAGGGCACCAAACAGGCTAAGTCTGCTACTGGGAACATACATACAATCCTTTCAAAGAAAAAGGAAAAAGCTCCTCTCCAAGCTTTCTTCTTATCTTCTTCTTACTTCTCACATATAGAAGGTTTAAACTGCGCATGGGTGAGGCTGTGTGCCTGAGATGACCACAGTAGTGACAGCGTCTCTCTGTCAAGACCAGAAAACCGGCTGTTTGGAAAATGTGACGCCTGAACTTGGGGCTTAAAGGGATTACTTTTTACATACACACTGACCTGATTATTTGAAGATTTGGCCATGATCATGGTAAGCTTTTAAATGGGGAAATATAATAGCACTGTCATAATACTTTAAGTACAAATGCAAATATAGAAATTAGTGTTGTATAAATTTAAAATGATACAATGAACTGCCCAAGGGAACTGTAAAAATTAATATAAATATGGAAAATACAGAGACATTCGATACAGACATCTGTAGAGACACAGAATTAATGAACATAATGCAATAATACATTAAGGCCACATATACAAGGAGAAGCGGAAAACAAACCATAAGCGGAGATATGTCTCATCTCAGATAAGCAGTTAGGAAGATGCTTTAAAACAGGTGCGTCATTGCATTGTTAGAACTCAGTGCAATGAACAAACTATCACAAATTTCTGTCATTTTACACATTTATTGTGGAGTTTCACTGCACACACAGCCCACTTATGATCGAGTGGGCTGTCATGTGTAACACTGATAAAGCGCTAATGAATTAATACAGGCTAGGTATTGAGTGAAATATTATGGTCATTATTAATCAGAAGATTTAGGAATGCTACTGGAGCTGATGGGCAGTAATTAATAAATACATGCAGGTACCATGTATTTAACCAAACCCCAAAGAAAAATAACAAGAAAAGAAAAGGAAAACTAAATAATCACTCCTGCTGCAGCTATTCAATTAATCAAAAACCCAGTGGGGGTGCACAAAGACAACTAAGCAAATTCTTCTGGCTTATGGCTTATACCAAGCAATATAGATTCTCAAAAAACAGTTCCCCATAAATAACACATCAAAACCACTGATCCACACTGAAGTCCATGAGTTTTATCTGAATGTCCATGAGAGATGTCCAAGCGCTATTGTCCATAAACGGGGGAAATGGTGTGTATGATTGTGGAAATCAGTGTATTTGGAAAATGGGGACAGAGCGTCGTCTTTGATAGCTTCCTACCCAACCAGTGGAAGCTTCAATTGCAGAATGAGAGTCCTGCTCCTAGCCGTTCATTGGCTCGCCATCCTTTTCCATACCAAAAAGGTTCACCTGGCCTGCATTAAATAAACAAGGCCAATAAGAAATCACAAGAATAACACAAAAATGCAGCCAATTAAGCAAAATACATTAAGTTATTCTTGTTCCTGTGTACACAGTTTATAAATAAATAAACAAACAGTATATTTAACCAATAAGGCAAACACTTGTATTTCCCGTTTTAATGTTCTCATCCAGTCATGTGACATACAGCCCACTCGATCATAAGTGGGCTGTGTGTGGCCCACGATGTGAAACGAGTTTGACGCCACTCTTTATAATATAAGTTTTTGTGGTTTATTTTCTTAAACAAATTTAACGAGTTAAGAAGAGAACAAACTTGAGGTTGGTTTTGTAATTCTAATGTTGCGTATAAAGAATCTGGCTACAGACTAAATAACATCCTTGTAAAACTAAACTAAAAGTTGCGTTGTCTCTACAAAAAGGATCGGGGATTGATGAAATCTTGTGGATTTTTTCCTCGCGAGTTAGATCGATCATGTCGCAGGTTGACTGTTCTCGTCTAGCAACGTGACGTCACGTCCGGTAAAAATACGCCGATTGCCACATGACTGGATGAGACTGAACAGATGCACGGAAGCACAGCAGCCCATCCTCATGAGCAGGCAGTCGTGAAAACTTCTCACGAGTCTTATCCGGATCCAGGAAGAGTAACGGCAGCTCACCTGTTCTCACTGCCGCGGACCTTCACAATGCTCACATTACAACCTTAACGACTCTGCAAGCCTGTTACTCTGAGGAGTGTGACAGACGCGGCTCTGAATAACAGGCTCTCTTCAGCCTGAGCTTCACTCTGTGTTTTGAAAGAAATGGCAACAAAAGGCAGGCTGGTGCTGCGGAGTGTGTTCACAGGACTCCGAGCTCATGCTGTCTGGTATCAGAGCTCAGCTTCGACTCCCAGTCAAGGTCGGCTGCTGCGGAGACCTCAGCTCAGACATCTGAGCTGCTCACACGGACTCTGCGGGGCTGCTCCGCCCTCCACAGGTACTCATCAGCTGGCTGTACTCCAGCCTCTACACTGACGTGACGTGCGTACGCCCAATGCCACTACTTCTTCTACTGGTCTTCGCCTGTCTACATTTGTAGTTATTGGACAGGATTCTCAGTTGACTCCAGCTTGTCCACATCATTCATGTTTCATTAGAATCCTTTAGAATCTTCCACTTTGTAGGAGACGTGTTTGCTTGTATTATCTAAGACTTTTGGACACTTTTATTATTTTGTAAAACATTTGCTCTTCCGTCTCTGTAAAAACTGTAATTCTATACATTTCTGCATATCTGTTAATGCGGCAGAAATTCACTTCAGTTTCAGTAAGTACTTAAAATGAGTATCAAAGTGTAACTTGTGACTTGTGTCCCAAATCCATCTTATGATCAGGTCCCAGCAGTCTGTCGTTCAGGAGTCACACCTGTGGAGAACTGCGATCAGATGATGTGGGGAAGAAAGTCACTCTGTGTGGCTGGGTCCAGTATCTCAGGTAGTCAGCCATTGGTTGATTGATATGACTGAGCCCCCAGTGGGTTTTACAGATGGCTGTAGTAACCCACTGTTGTACCTCTCTCCTCACCTCCAAAACCAAAAGTGTCCAATTTGGGTTAATCGCTCTATAAGACCGGTTCTTGTGTAATTTGGCGTTCCCCAGCCTTTTCTCCCTGTTTCCCTTGCTTAAGAATGGCTTCATGACAACCAGCTGAAAATGGTCAGGTGCAAGGACTGGACTGGAAATGAGTGAAAAAGCAGCAAACGTCTTAAGAAAACCTCTCGGTGCTGGTTTAGCTCACTGGGATGAGCAGGCCGTATGTCTGAGAGTGGCCAGCACAGGTTTGAATCACGTGTTCCCCTCTCTCTCCGTCACTCTTCACTGTACCCTATCGAGTACAAGCAGAAAAAGGCCAAAAAATATTTAAGTAAAACTCTGAAAGATCTCAAGAAAGCCAAGAGAACTAAGAAAAAAATCTTAAAAAAAGTTCAAAGGGTCTCATATAAATTTGAGAAACAGTATGTGTCTCTGCCCCCTACAGGCAGGACCTGTTCGTCATCCTGCGAGACTTCAGCGGCTTGACACAAATTCTAATTCCTCAGGAAGTATGGAAGAAAACAACAAAATACACTAACATAACCAATGAACGCTGTGCTGTAAAATAAAGAACTAAATAGTTTGTTTCCTCTGTTTTAAGTCTCCAAGTGCTTTGAAAGCCACGTTGTGCAATCTGACGCCCGAGTCTGTCATCAAGGTTACAGGAACAGTCAGGAACCGACCAGTGGGGCAGGAGAACAAGGTCTGTACATGCTTCTGAAGGTGCAGTGAAACACCACCCACCTGCAGGGGGTGGTGAGGAAAGTTTAGTTCCTGTACTTTGAGTTTAACCCACATGAGCCAGGAATCCTAATTACTACAGCATCCAGTCACACTGTGCTTAATATACTGAGTGCCTGCTTTTAAACGCGGAAGGGGAAAAAAAAGTACCAACACACTCTCATCAATATATTTCACTATATTTATCAAATAGCATAATAATGTTCTGTCCTTTTAATGAACGTAGTAAAGGACAGGGATCAGAAACTTTCTTTTCCAAGGAGTGACTGTCTGTCCTAAATAATCTGGTGAATTGATACCTTCATCAATCTTAAATTGCTTTCTGTAGCAATATAATGAGACTTTTGGTGATTAGTCACCTAATTCTGTTTTGAATCGTGTGTTTAAACCAGGAGATGCCGACAGGAGAGATCGAAGTCTTGGCAGAGAATGTGGAGGTCTTCAACGTGTGCCAGAAGCTGCCGTTTGAGATAAAAGACTTTGTCAAAGTAAGTA